ATTCCTGTAGTAGGATTCCCAGCACATTTCAGGAGGAAGGTTGACTAAAGTAAATTTTGTTTTAAACACTGGAAATAAGATTTTATAGCATCTGCAACAGATCTGCAGTAAAAATATTCCTGTGTTATTTTTCTTGGTATTGGATATCAGAGATCAACAGCTGGTTTCCAAATACTGAATTTGGTATGTAGTAGGTACTAGCCTTTTTTACAAGCTGTTAGTAATTGGCTTCTCCTTAGGGCTGCAACGATTCTGGGTATTTCAGACCCTTTTCAGTCCTTTGCCTGCCTGCCTGCCATGTGCTGTCTGGGTGGGCACTAAGGCCATTTGCTTGGGCAGGTGATGCCAATAGCCATGTCAGGTCACCATTACCCCTCTTACCCTTGCACATGTCTGCAGCCCATGTTTTTCCTTCTTAGCTTTATCAGCTTGCATATTTTCAGATTAAAACTTGCATTTTGCTCCCAGTTCTGTAACCTGTAGGTCCTCCCATCACTAGTCTTCAGGAGAAATGCTGGCTCCCCAGGCCAGGTTCATGTAGGAGTGCAGGACATGGGGCAAGGGTCTCTCAAAAAGCTTTTCTCAAAGAGCTACCTGGCCTGAGAAAACAGAGCCTATGGTACTGATTTCTTAACCAAGAGCAAGTCAGGTTTGATTTGCTTTGCTAAAAGTTGAGGTGTGGTGTAGCCCCCAGCCTGCCTGCAGCCTGGCTGACCTGCCAGCAAGTTCAAAATCATCAAGTGTTGAACAAAATATTACGGACTCTGCTATCTTTGCGAGGTGTCCAGCAGTGAATCTGTGTGTAGGAGCTAAACTCCATCTCAATGTCTCTCTTTTTCCTCTAGGTCTAGGAGAAAAAACGGTTCTTTCTAAAAAAGAAAAAATGAAGCTGAGGAAAGAAAGATGGCTACAGAGTAAGTACTCCTCTGAAACATGACTGTACTGCAGGCATCACAGAGCATGGCTCTGTTGGATCCCTCTGTACGTGGGGTGTGGGTGGCAGCATTGGGTAGTGCTAGGGGAGGCTGATGCTTCTCAGAAATCTTCACATCTGCTCCCCAGGACATGGAGTAAAAGTCCCAGGTTATTGTTTCTCAGTGTTTAGCACTGAGACTGAGTCATTGCCCCAAACCTGCTTTTGATCTCACTCCATGTGTAATATAAGTGACTACATAAAACCTTTATTTACCCAGATAGGACACTGTGCCCATGTAGGTTTAGCATGTTTATCTTTTAAAGCTCTGGTACAAATGTGACTAGCTGTATAGTGGAGCTCCTGCTCCCTGAGGAGCTGTGGGGACGGTAAGACAGCCTGGAGCTGAGCCTCATACAGCCGCCAGCTAATCCCAAGACTCTGTGGTGAAAGCTTGCAGTGGACCCTCCTGCCTTTCAGTAAGGGAGGTCTCTGGACGCTGCTGGTTGTGTTATTGCTCTTCCCAACTGCCACAGGTCAGTGAACTCACCAGACAGTCTGCCCTTTCTAGAGGCTGTGAATATTAGCTAAACAAAACCAGCCCATGGCAGAAATGCTTCTGTTTCCCGTGGGAAGCGTCTGTATCTTTGCTTCAAGTATCTCGGCACAATAAAGACATGATGCTGCACTACCTTGTGTATCAGAGGGATTCCTCTTGCCACCTGGAGCTGTTCTTGGGACAGGCTTTTCCCTTAACACCTTCCTGCCCAACAGAGTTGCTGACAGACTGTGTTTGGGGCTGAGGGATGTGGCTTTCTGCCACACCATATGCTCTCTGCTGCTGAGCTCTGAGCTCACATCCATGAGCCTGTGATTTTACTAGTCACAGTGAGGGTGTCTCTGGCTCCTCTTACATAAAAAGCTGATAATTTAACACTGAGTGTGATGGAAACGTCCTTCCTATCACCAGCTAACAACTTCCAAATGTCTTAGACATCTGCAGCCCTTGGTGTCCCTGTTGGGCAAAAAGCTTAGACAGCTGTGCTAGTCCTAATGTCTGGCTTGCCAGCTGCAATTTTGGTACTCCTGAAAGTCTCTCCTTGGCTAATACTACTGTGGGAACAGAGGAGGGAACTGCTGGAGCACAGCCAAACTTTCCCTCCCCTGGTACCAGGACTGGTACCAGGTGCTGTGGAGGAACGCATGTCCTCAGCAGCATTTTATGACAGAATCCACAGTAAAAAGGGTACGTGGGGTTCATGTCTTCTGCAGTTAGGTGACAGCACTGCTCCCATAGTTGAGGTCAGCTACTTTGGAAAAGCCCAGGAGCAGGATCCCTACATGCTCTTAATACTGCTCTCCTGCATATATGCCTTTGTAGCATCAGCCTTTCTCAAGATTGCTTATGTTATTTTGACCCTGCCATGGCCTCTTTCCTTCTCTCTTATCTCTGAAATTATGAAGCTGAGGGAATACAAATAAAATGCAGAGGCTTTACTTTGAGGAGAACACCAAGATAGAAAACTTCAGGCCAAATTCTCTGTGTCTTAGAAGATACTAGGTATTACAAATGCTTTACAGATACAGAAGTACCTAAATTACTGGCTCTCTTGACTCCCCCACTAAACTTGTGGCCAGTTGGCAAACACCAGCATTCCCTAGCAAATGCTTTGCTAAGAGTAGCAAGTACCTGGTGATTTCTGTAAGAAAAGTCAGTAAGTGTTAGTACCAGGTGTACAGGTTGTTATTGAGAAAAATGGAATAGCTGGAAAGAGCTTATATAAACATCAATAAAGAAACAGATACTAGTATCATTAGCTAATGGATAAAATGAACTGGTATTTCCAGAGATGGAGATTTTTAAATGAAAATTGGCATGACCTTAAATCATGAGGTCATCATCATGGCCTTAAAGAGCTGCAGACAACTGAAACACAATGATTTTTATCTGATGCAGATAACTCTGCTAATTCTTTGTGGGTTTTGCAGTCTTTGCCCCCCAAAAGAGAACATGACTTGGACTACTGAAGTTGTTATCATTACATCTCTGTTTTCCTAAATCTTCCCAAGAGTTTGTTGTTTCTTCTTGTCCCACGGCTGCTTTTGCCACACTGGATGCCAAGACCCTGGGAACTAAGGGCAAATGCAAAACTTGGAGATTTCTACCATTCCAATAAATCATTGCAGGAGAGACTAGAGAGGGAAAAAATTATGTAATGCTTCAGACATTAGAAGTATGCATATTTAAAAATACATACATCACATGGCTCCTCAGACGAACAAGACTTCATAGGAAAAGAATTTGGGATGTTTGCACAGAATCAGGTGTCTGAAAATTTTAAGCACATACTGTTTATGAAAGCACTGAAGTGGCCTGGCTTTATGAAGCTGACTAAAAAAAGTCATGCAGAACAGAAAGCTGTGTTCTTGGCAGGGATTGCTGTGAGAAGCATTTACAATCCAGATTTGTCACAAACATCCACGTACAGCTAAATTGCAGTTCATGAAAAACTGTTGCTCTTCAACTCAGCTGAGTTGGGATGTGAACGAGACAAAGATATTAAAGGAGCCAGCAGCTAGCCAGTGAATTTGAGTTCTGCTTTCTTGCATGTGGGCGGCATGATTAGACCCAGAATTGCAGGTGGCATCTTCCGTGTGGTGTGTAGAATGGGGCTGGCTGCTTTCGTGTTCCCACCAAAAATACTTGTGCTGATTCAGTCCTGCTTCTGTGGCCACACTGCGTTGGAAGCTGTTGGCCTCCCTCTGTTGCCAGCTTGGCCCCACGGCTGCTGGCACTGTGCTCCATCGTATCCAGACAAGGAGTTTCTAGCTCAGTGCTGAGGCTCATCCTTGCACTACGGTTATTGTCCAAGGCAATAAGCAGAAGCCTGCTGTTCCACTATGGCCTCTGCTGGGTGCATGTGGAAGAGGTAGAGTCCTCCATCATGTGCCCAGGAGCTCTGGTACCCCTCGTGGGTGACAAGGCAATGCAGTGAGTTTCCAGGCCTGATGATCAGCTGGCAGAAGGAAAAGGAGCTCCTGGATCCCACTGAGCTCTAGCTGTTTCTGGGGGCATCATCAAGGGACTCCTGGAACAGGTTGGGGCATCTTGGATCTCAGCTGGAGTCTTGTAGCAGTGCTGGGCTTTTGTGGGCTGTCCCGGAGGAGAACATGTTTTTCTGGGGCTCACCCCAGAGGCTGCTGGCTCTGTAAGGCTTAGGCAGCTTTTCTACACCAGGGAGCCTTGAGGACTGAGGCAGAAAGGCAGAAGCCTGAAGCTTTCAATGCCCACCTCCCATGGCCAAGAAGGAAGACTGCCGTAACATTGTAGAACGTTATGTGCCCACAGCCTCCTTGGTCAGAGCTGCTGCAGGGAGACTGGTAAACATGGTCTCAAGGAAAAGCCAGCCACTTCTGTGTCTGCCGCTTGGTGCAGTGCTTTTCTAAGGGCCCAGTTTATCCAGCATCTTGAGCTCCACCATGAGTCATGAAGCTGAGACCTTGACGTACTCCAAGCTAAATAAACAACTGAAATTAAAATCTTTTCTGCCTGTGCTAGGAGACCATTGTTTTGTCCCAACAGCAAAGCAGAGGTGGGGCTGTGAATGTTTAATGCTACATGTGGAGCTGACTGTATTTGGTTTGTCCCTTCCCCTCTTGTTTCTCTTTCCTAATTCCACGCAAGGTCAGCGTGTTTATTTCTACCCCAGGACTCCTGTGCCACGTTGCTTTGAGCAATGAATGGGAACAGTTCAGACAAAATCAGTCTGGGGATTTCGTTTCCCATTGCAAATGTCAGTAGAGTTGTATATAGTTACAAGCAAACACAACAAGGGAGGGAACTACCCAGCTGCATTATTTTCAGTCTTTCTCTGGTTTAAATCACTTCTGGCCTGTTTTTCCTGTAGGTGGTGAAGCAGCCTATGAATTTCTTATCTCTTGCAAATGCTTCCCATTCCCCCAGTAATTTCTTGTTTCTGATTCAGAAATAGAAAGTGTGAAGCTAGCCAAGCAGAAGCAAAAAGCTGAGGCAAAGCGGAAAGCAACACCTGTGGTGGGAGACATGCAGCCATTGATGGAAGCCCTACCTGAGCTCTCTGACCTGACCACAGGTAGCAGGGGCAGGAAGCCATCGAAGAGGTATGTGCCGTTTAGGGATTCTTCCTGCATGATGACGTGCCCTTCAGCTCTGCTTGTAGCTACAGGCAATGCAAGCTTGGTGCCAGTGGTCAGGAGAACAGGGCCTCGTTCTCAACTCCATTTTGCCCCTTCCCATGCTTCACTTGACACAAGAAAAAAAGCTTAATGTGTCTTCTGAATGCACAGCTAAGAGGGGAACTGTATTGCTCAGATGAGGCTTGGCATGAGACGGGCTGGGAGCAACCAGATGTCCTGGGAGTTGCGGGAGTGACGCACAAATGTCCAGAGTGTAATGCTGCTGAGCTCAGCTGAGAATCTGGGCTTGAGGTGTTGCAGCCTGCTGTTCTGTCCTTCCAGACCTCCAGGCTTTTTCCTGGGGCAGTGCAAGTCCTTTGAGCAGAGCTTGATGCTCTGGCCTGACTCTTTGTTCACCTCATCGGCTTGACTCTGGACAAGAGCAGAAAGATGGTGTTTCCATTCCCTTTATCGTACTGAAAGAGAAGGGCTATTTCTGATCCTCTACCACCCACATGTCAACCATCCCAGCCAGTCGTAGGGTGGGTTCTGGTTGCCCTTATATTTTTTTCCTTTTAAATGCAGTGCTCTGCCTGACCATCTGGTCAGTGTTGCAGCTGCTTTTGCTTCCCTCAGTGTAGAATAAAAGTGCTCTACGTGCTGCACAAACACTTGTCCCTCCTCTCTAGTTGCTCGGTAATGCTTGGAACTAGAAACTTGTTTTGATCCTAATAAGAAAGCATTTGGATTAGAGAACAGCCAAGATGATGGCTGTCTGGCAAAGCATCCTCTTCTTTGGTTGCAGATCAAGGCTTGGAGATACCATGAACCCTCCTGTGACTTGCTGGATGCCTCAGAAATAAACTCTGACCCGGGTGGGACACCCACCTATAGAGCATGGCTGAGTTGGCAGTTCCCTGTGCTTCTGGAAACCACTGCTTAGATGAACAGCAGCTATGAACCTTGCATCTAAGCATGGGAAAATATTTCCTTTCTTAACTTGGCTTCTAATTCTTTGAATAGCATTTTATTTTTTTTTTCTTTATGCAGCCATTCAGTCCAGCCTGCCCTCTCTTTCAGTGGGAGTGAACAGCAAAAGTACGTGCAGAGTTTCAAGTCTTGTAGAGCACTGCGGTTTGGTTGGATGGAGTTCTGGGCCAGGGCCAGGGCTTAGCCTGAGCCTGAAAGGTTTGCCCTTTCTGTGGCTCCAGGTTGTGTTCAAGTGTCATTCCCCCTCATAATTTTCCCCTAGCCCCCTTGGCGGCTGAGCTGCTGCTATCCAGGAGAGTGGCTTACAGAAAGTATGTACAGGGGAGGGAGGACTGGTAGGGTTCTTCCTTTGGGGATTGCTTTCCTGGGAGGCTAAATAATCTAGCACAAATACATGGTATGACTGCAGTCTGCTATTCTGGACCAGCCAAAGGATAGAGTAGAACTGGAAAAGGCTCAGAGACAAGGATAACACTGGAGGATCTCATACAGCTTCTGCACAAGGGGTGACTAAGTGAGCTGGGGAGTTCTCAGCCTGGACAGGAGATAGAGGCAAAGAGGCTTGGGAATGTAACAGTGTATAAAATCCATTGTGATGTGGTTAGGAAGTAGTTCATCTTCTTTTCCAGTATGAAAAATAAAGGACATCAAGCATAGCTAGTGAGTAGCTTGTTCAGTGCAAGCAGGAGGTGCACTGCTCTGCACAGCTTCTTGCTGCAGGATGTCATGGCTGAGGGAAGCCTGCAGGTCCAAGTGAGACCTGACGAATCCAATGAGAGCTCCATGAAGGGTTATTGCGTGTATATAAACTGCAGCTGGCACAAGTTCTCTGAGCTGCAAATACTGGAGAGGATGTGGCTATATGCTTGCCTTTGGCTTATCCCTCTCTGGCCATCTGCTGCAGGCTGCTTCGAGGCAGAATACTGGCCAAAATGGTACTTCCAGCTACTGCAATCGCTCTTCTCTTCTGTAGAATGCTTCATGGCAGAGGATGTGTGGCACATGTGGAAGCATTCGGTGGTCTTTTACGAATCTCCAGCCTGACATCCTCAGAGAAGTGGTCAGCTCCCTCTCTCCAAACCCAGACCTCCTGTGGGAGTGTGGCAGCCCTTCTCTCCCTTTGGAAGCCTGAGTTCATACTCTGGCTCTGTTTTCACTTCAGCTGCAAGGCTCTGGTGTCTAGAAAGCCCAGTGGGCCTGTGGCACAGCTGCCCTGGATGAGAATTTCAGGACTGGCCAGCACCATCTGCAGTCGGCACAGTGGAGGTGGGAGCTTGGCTTTGACTGATGTCACCCAGATTGCCTCTGACATGCCAGCCAGAAATCACTCCCCCTAGGTACTGGCATGGAGGAGCTATAGTGCTCTTCTTCCCCTTGCTGGCTTGTGGCTTCCTGGACTGCTGAGGATGTGTGTGCATGTGTTTGAAATAATCAGAGGAGGCTTTTATAGGATTTGAATCATTACATAAATGAAGGGTAATACTCTGGTGATTTGTCAGCATTATTAATAAAAGATTAGATTCTCCAGGAATTTGATCTCCTGCTGGGTAAGAGAGCATTACAGTGAGGTTTTTATTCTGCTCTATAATGAATGAAGGCAATGAAGTGTAACGGAACAGGGCTACTAACATGGTCCAAGTGAGCAGGCAGCGTGCTGGTGGTTTAGTGGGGGAAATTCAGACAGCAGCCTTTTGAACATGCCAGACCAGTGGGGCAGAGCTGTTGAGTGGAACTGCCTTCAGAAGCACTAAGCCCTTTAAAATAGTGGGGTGGCTTAAAGAAAAAGTGGGGTTGCACAGCCTGAAGCAGCCCCACGCCCTCATGGTGTGTTGCAGAGGAAGCTGTCCAGAGAGGCACAGACTCAGGGGCACATGGTCTTGTATGGGCTGGGATGTACTCTCGAAAGGCTTTTCTTTAAGCATTGTCACCTTCTGTATAAGTACTCATCTTTGAAGGGACTGCCATGGTGACTTGGTGGCACACTTGGCAAGCCCCTGCAACCGTGACTGTGGGTTGGAATCCAACTTTAGAAGTGATTTCTCTGTGCTTCTGTGAGTGATGAAGGCAAACTGGGACAAGAAATTGTTCCTGTGCCGAACAGTAAAGTACATGAAAAGAGCAGACATGCTTCCTGCTCTTTCTGTGTCTTGCAGTACGGATGCAGCAGTGTGACGGGACCTGCTCAAACCCTGTAGCTGTTTGTCAGCTCTTGCTGATTGCTGTTCCTCGTGAGCTCTCAGGCCTGTTGTGTAACAGCAGCAGTGCCGGGGTGACCTCGAGAGGTACTGAAGGGTACAGAAGCAGTGTGCAGGCATTGATCTGCCTGGCTGCCCTTTCATGCACAGGCTCTGCGCTGCAAAGGCTGGCTGACATACATCAACGCTGTTTGTGTTTGTCTGGGTTGGCAGGGAGCTTTGATGCTGGGGCACACTGTGCTGGGCTGAGGGTAAGTCAGATGTGACCAGGGCAGTGGTGAGAGCAGTCCTCAACAGCCTGAGTCCACCAGGATCCCCCTTGAGGAAAAATAAAATGGGCAAGGATGGAGAGAGGGAGAGATGAGGAAAAGGAGCAGGAGCTGATTGAATAGAGAGGAATGATGAAAGTGAGTGGGGTGAAGGAATATGGGGCAAGGGAGGAGCAGGAAAGAAAGAATGGGGAAAAAAAAGAATAGAAGGATGGAGGGTAGTGGATCAGAGAAGGAAATAGGAAGAGGACATCACTGTAACACTGCCAACAAGAGACCAGGTCCTGCTATCTTGAAGAGAAGGTGAGGGACTGTCATGTTTCCTAACCTTGAGAAAGCCGAAGGGCTCTGGGGCGGATGAGGTTAGGAAGGCCCTGAGCCCCAGCACCCACCAGTAAGGGAAGATTCCTCCTTGAGCCCTGCCCCAACAGAGAGTTGGGAGGCAGACCCTCTTCCCCCCTCAGCCCCAGGGCAAATCAGAAGGGAGCTGCTCTGTAGAGGCAGACCCTCTTCCTCACTTGCTTCTCCTGTTCACCTCTGTATCTGTGGAATGCTGAAGAATGGACATTTCTTCTCCTTTCCTTAATGTCCTGTTCTACCAACAACTCCCCTTGTGCACTTCAAGTCCCAAAAGCAGTCGCTGCCCTTCCTGCATGTCCCTTGCTTGGGCTCAGCACTTGGCTTTGCAGTAAATCTCTGCCACTGCTTGGCATCAGGCACCACATGCTTGCAGCATCCTATGCAGGATGGGATTACACCTCTGGTCTCCTTGGACTTTGTCCAGGAATAAAAAATGGGTGCAAAGAGTGCAGATCTGTGTTTGCAACTGTGCCTCAGCTGCATATAGTGCACCATCCTGTATTCCCATGGGTCCATCTTCTTGTAACTTCATGGGTTCTCAAAACCTTTTTGGTGGTAAAAGCTGAAGCTTTATTGTTATGCTTACTCTTTAGTTAGTCTGTTTGCAGCTGACTTAAACTGGCAAGCCTGTGGTGAAGATATGTGTTCACAGGGAGACAGGAATATTGCCATTCTTTATCTTAAAATATAAATGACACCTTATACTCTAGTGGTCCCACCACAGGACTTGAAGCAGGGTTGGCAGTTCCCTCTTCTTGATGAGTAACCGTGGCATTGTCTGTAACTGATGTCTGCTGACACTGGAGCTTGGCAGCATTAGGAAGGAACATGAGATGTGCACAGGTGACGTGTGCGTGGTGGTGAGGGGAAGTTCGATGGGATCTTTTCTCTAAGCAACAGTATCAGTTTGACCTGGAGGTTGGTGATAAGCAGAAAGTGATCTGGGCACAGACAGCTCGTGACCAGTTCTAGAATTAAGTGATCCAATTTTTCTTGTGCATTTATGTCCTGCCCATTTAGTCCTGACTCCTGAACTGTTGTCAGTGTGTAGCGGATGGAATTTGCATCCCCATTACTGTCTGGTTATGGAAATAGTTGCCTATCAGGACAATTTCCATACAGGACAATTACCTATACTTTCTGGGAAGGCAGATACAGAATCCCTGGGCTCTTTCCATCTTCACAGCAGTTGCTAAATTACTACTTCTCTACAACACTCATTCACTTCTTCTATTTCTTCTCTCCACAGCCACATCAGAGCAAAGGCAGAACCAGCAGACTTCTGTCTGATGAAACAAGCTCAGAAACGCCAGTTCTTGTAAGTACCCAGTTACCAGAGTGTCCGGTTCCTGTTGAACATTACAGAATGGTTGAGACTAGAAGGGAGCTCTGGAGGTCAGCTGGTCCAACCCTCCTGCTCAAGCAGGGTCACCTAGAGCTGGTTGCCCAGGACCATGTCCACACGGCTTTTGAAGATCTCCAAGGATTGAGATCACACAACCTCTGTAGGCAACTGATTCCAGTGTTTCAGTCTTGCACACCTGAATGCCCTGGAAGAGGTGGCAGCTTTGATATTCCCCTTTATGTAGTGCAGGATGTTTGTGGGTGTCCTTCTGTATTAGTCCCTGCCAGACTCAGTCAATTCTAAATGGAATTCAGTTTGCTTCCACTTCTGTCTCATATAACATCTAAGCGAAGAGAGCACAGGAAACTGCACTTGCTCCTTTTAAGAGTTCACCTTCCCTGTCTTATTGAAAAGAAAGTGATGGCTTGGGCCTCCTGTGTATGGTGTGTGGGGTTTCAAGACAAACCTACACCAACTATCATCTTGTTCCTCTTGGCCACAGTTGTCATTTCTGGCTGTACCATGTGAGTATGTCTGTACTGTGTCCCTCTGTGTGGCATGGACAATGTAGTTACCATTGAGGTGGTACATCCCTTGTCTTGGCTTGCTGAGTTAGAGCTGTAACATCTAGGTATGGCTCAGTCTCTTATGACATGAGGCCTACGTAGCTCTAGCTGATGACCTTCAGGAAAGCCTCCCGTGTTGTATAGGTGAGGAGCTCCTGGAACTGTGTAGCATCAGGAGCTACAGCTGTTCAGTTGGAACAACTCTGGGATGCTAACTTAAATGCTGTACGTCCCTTATGAGGACAGCTGTCCATTGGCATCTGCCAAACCTTTTCTTGTAGAATGAAGTCCTAAATGTTTTTGAATAATTCCTGGCAACTCCTTATTCCTCTGTATAATCTGTTGGATACTTTATACTGCCACCAGGCATCAAGAACTTAATTTCCCCTCAGCACACCTCTCCTGGGGCTAGGCACTGTGATCTGGCAGTGTTTGCTTTCTGTGATAACCTATTTCCAGGATTTCCGTGAGTTCTGAGCCTCAGCTGAGGCTGAGGAGAACAGTCAGTCAGTCTACAGATCTCAGCACTGCTCTCCAGCACGCTCTTTGATGAATACCCTTTTCTGTCTGAAACTGGCCAGTGTCGGTACTGGGATGCCTTTCTTGCTCAGTTCTGCCTTCCTGGATGAGTCCCTCCTTGGCCTTGAGTGCCACCAGTGAGTGTCTCATTGCGCTGGAACTCATAGGTAAAGAATGTTGCTCGAGGAGGGACTTGTATACAGATCTACATCGAAATAGGCGACTCCACCACAATCTTCTGCATCAGCAAGCTGATGATCCCATGTGCCCCCCTCTTCTCCTCTGAACAAAACTGCACAGATGCACTGAGTAGTGGCGTGTATTCTACCATAGTGGTCTGGAAAGTCTGTGCTTCTTGGGAGGGAAAAACTTTGAAGGAAGGTCTTTGAGGTTTATTTTCCAGGACATTAGTTAGTACTGGAGGCTCCCTAAGCCTCACCCCATTGCCCCAGCTGCCACAACCTAAGCTTCAGGTTTGGCTTCTCTCTCTGTTCCCCTGTCAGGGGTAAGGCTGGCATTAAACAGAAAGAGCCCTACTAGGGAGAGAACTAGCTGAGTGCTGCAAGCTGATGAGGACTCTGCTGATCCACAGCAACTGCTAAGAACATGCTGATGTGTGTCTTGCTGGGCTGTGGAGAACCTGGCAGTCTGTCTGAGGGAGACGGGGAGGTTGCAATGGATGTGACTTAGGTCGAAACTCACTTCTTTTATTACACTCCTCCTGCTCTGCTCTTCTTCCCCTCTTGCTTGCTTTTTAAGGCAAGACTATTTCCACAGCAACCAGCTGTGACCAAGCATGCAAAGTAATTCAGTCATGCTCCTCCCACAGTGTTTAACTAGTATGTGACACATAGGATTACCAAGCCTCTACATTGAGTAATAAGGAGGGCCAGTAGATGAGCTCTCAAAAGCAGAATCTGCTTTTGTGCTAGTGCACTCTGAAGTAGTTTTCATTCTTAGGGATTTACCAGATACCCCCAGTCTCTTGTTCCTGATTTACTAGGGAAAAGCTCTAAAAAAAAAAAAACAAACCCCAAAAAACCATTTCCAAGTGATGCTGGACACTAACATGATTGTTTCTGTCTCTGTGGCATGAGATCAAGTCTTTGGCTCCCATGAAGCTGGCAGCAATTTTGGCTTTGCCCTTGGGTAAATTAGGTTTATTTCTTGCACTGTTCCTTTCTGAGGTTTACACCCAGGATCATTCTGTCTATAGAAACCCATTGCTTTATGAGTTCTGTTCTTATCCGCTCAGTTCCATTTGCATGAGACTTAGCATTTGTGTGTTATTTTTCTTTCCTCAGAGAAGAGGAAGTGGCTCGGTTTCATGAGGTCATCACTAATCCCAGGTACAGAGCCAACCCCCTCATGGTCATCAGTGAACATCTCTCCAAGAGTCTGAGGCAGGAGGAAGAAGGTAAACCCCTCTAGGGTGTCAGCTGGGACAAAACGTGCACACTGGATCTGGTGTGAGGGCTCCAGGCTGCAAAGGAGCACATCACTAATGTGACCTCTTAGCCACTTCAGTCCTTGGAAGCAGTTCAGCAGATTATTAAATCCAACAGTCCTGTTTTCTGTCTGCAGGAATAATGGTGTTCTCTCCTGACAGTGGCAGCTGCTCCTTGGAAAGCAGCCTGCAGAGAGCAGGGTGTTCTGCGAGATTGTTGTGTAGACATTATGCTCCCTGCAAAGTGTCTTGACACCTTTTCTCTTCTTGTGAGCAGATTTCTTAAATTGTGCCAGTGCCAATGTATCTGTTTTCTGTTGTTTCCCTCCCCTTTCTGACAACTCTGAAAAAGGTTTCCCTATTGCTCTATTGAGATGCTTCAAGACCCCAAGCCCTGGAGCCCAGAAGGCTGTTGTAGATCTGTATAAGGACTGATGCTGCTGTTCAGAGACATTGCTTTATCTGAGAAATTTAGCTTTGGAATAAACACACTTTCATATGGTACAGAGTTTGTCTGGCTCTTGTTTTGGTAAATACTAATTGAAATATGGCCTTATTCCCATCACTGGAAAAATTATTTAAGAGAATGGGTTTTTTCAATGGGTACAGTGAACGACTAGATTGATGCTGCGGCGTGTAACAGAAGCCACGTGAAATCATTGCAGATCACATCTAACTCACAGATTTGCCTTCCTTCTACCCTGGAAGTGTATGCTTTCCATGGGTGATGCTGATCCCTTTTGGCCTGTTTCCTGCTTGGCCTGCCCTATATAAAGAATCCCCAAACGTGTCCTGGCTGCAGGCTGTGAAATTCAGCCAGTCATTTATGTGTTTGGGTTTGGGAACTGCTGCAGCGGGGGGAGGCCCTTCCTTCTAACAAACACAAATTTTCACAAAACTCCAGTGAATCTTCCTGCGGACAACTGAAGACAGGGCTGTTCCCTATTTGAGATGGTCCCAATTTGACACCCTAAAATGTCAGTGCTGTCTTTTGAACCATACAAAAAGTTTTCTGATGCTTCTTAACTTTGGAAAACCTGCTTGCCTATTTTGGGTCAATGGTGATGACCATCTGAAACGTTTACTCTGGTGCCCAGGCAGAGCATGGAAGCTGCAGCCGACTCTTACCCAAGTTAGTGCCTAAAACCAGCTGCAATGGGAGTGGCAGGCATGTTGATCATACCTGTCTCTTTCATCGCTAGTAATGCTGCTTTTTTTCCATTCCTCTAGGCTGGCACTGTTGAACAAAGGCAATTACTTCTAATGCCTGCCTCTTAGCCCCGGCAGTGCAGATGCTGTTGCTGATGCTGCTTGTTGTTAGAGTAATGTCACCATGCCACCCCTCCTCCCCCAAGGCCTGGCAGGAGAGTCCTGCTGGCAGAGGCCACAGATGCTGGCTATGTCCTATCCTCCACCCTGTTGCTCTCAGGCTGGCAGGGCTCCCCTCTCCCCTGATGGCTCCTGCGTCAGTGCTGGCAGGTGAACACTGCTGTGCTGTTCATTGGCATGCTGTAATGCTCTGCAGGACCCAGGCTGTGGAAAGCAGAGGGCTGTGGTGGGGTCAAACAACTTGAAGTATCTCCCCACCTCCTGGTTGGTTCCTGTTTGCTCTCTTAGCAGTATCTGATTGTGTTTCTTCTAGGCTATGTTGGATTTTAAGCTCTGAACACCAGCCCCAGCTGCAGACGTGCTTCCCCTGCTTATGTTATGCAAGCTGAGCACTGCATTGGAGAGCTGGGCCTTGGATGGGGCTATGCATTAATGGCACCTCCTGCCCATGGCCTGCAGCTGCTCTTGCATGCTCCCAACAGCCCAAGATGTGACTAAGACTTGAACCAAGGTAAGGTTTTTGGGGTGGTTTTCTCTGTAAGCCCACTGTTTACCCCTTTACTTTGTCTCATAGCTAGCTGTCTACTGAGAAAGGTGCCATCCTTGTGCTTAAATGAAGGGAAGGCAAGAGATGAAGAAGGTGAAGACATCAAAGTACAAAGGAGGATGAAGGTTGATTCTCTTGTTAGTGAACAGGGCAGTGAGGGCGATAGAGAGGTGTATCTGGAGGGCAGGAGGAACAGAATGCAGCTTGCATGGCGTGTTGGAGGACTTCTGCTTGTCTTCTATGCTTTGCAGGAGCTTTGCAGCTTTCTTTTTGTCTTGTGTTTTTTAGACTATACATGACGCACAAGGAGAGCCTTGGCCTCCTTGTACGTCTGGGTCATGCAGTAGCTGAGCTGTGCCCTCACACTTCCCTTCGTAGCAGTGGTGATGTGTTATTCTGCACCATCACAAATCAGTGTGATAGCTGGGGAGAAGCCACAGGCAAGTATAAAATGCCATCCTGGGTTGTGTACGGGTGAGATCATTTCCCTCCCCTTAGAGATGCATGTGGTGCATCATGGCTGTGCTTTGCAGAGATCCAGCGGGAGTAGCGATTTCATTTGACATGCACCAGTTTCCTGGGCACCATCTATTTTGCACAGAGCTTGACCATCCTTATAAGCCTCTGGAGAGTTAGTTGGATTGTCCCACGCACCTCTGTTCCAGACCAGTTTCTTCTTAGTAACTTCTCCCTAGGGTGAAAACAAATCTGAAAGGCTATCAATTCCTGTCTTCGCAGACTACTTAGTTCTCTTTTTACAGGTTGAATCAATGCTTGGATGGCCTGAATTGCAATGTTAGGGAAGATCCTCAGCTGGCAGAAGGGCTAGTTATAGGTAGTAGGGTAGATTTTGCTGTGGGCCATGTGCCAAAAGATCACCACTTTGAAAGAGTAAAGCCTGACAGGACTGTGTCCTTTTCTCATCCTGTGCAGTTTTTCTAAGAGACCCTGCAGTTTGGGGCTGGAGTGGAAAAGGTATTTCTGTGTGCAAAACCAGCAGTGAGCACTTTGGAACCCCAAAAAGCATCACTAGGGTGAAGGGCTCTGTGGTTTGTGTAGCTCTTCCAGGGTGGCATCAAGATAGGGGCTGTCCCTGTGTCTCAGCCTACATGTAGACTTCCCAGCACCTTTAGGTTGCCAGCTGTGGTGCTTATGGCCAGAGTTCATCACTGGAAAATGGGACACTAACAGCATGGTCATCTAGCACTTCTCCCCGGCTCAGCCTGGTTGCTGGGTCCCATCCTTTCCCTTCCAACCAGTGGGAGCCAATAGAGCTGAAGCTTCATTACTTAAGAAGCAAAGAGGTGACTGACCAGGTGGAGGTATTGAGCTGGGTGACCTCACTCAGTACTGCCTGGTAGCTGTGCCCATGCTCGTGGCCCTTCACCTCCATGCACAGCACCACTGTGCAGTACGTGCTCACCTTTTCTTTACCTTGGGTGGGCTGACACCATCACTTGGATGTGTGTCTAACTCTTAGCTATTTTGAAAATGTTGGTCTCCTGGGTATTGAGCAGCAGTTAAACATGTGACTGTTTGAAACTACAGTTCATTGCCTGCTGCTGCAGGCATCTCCTGCCCCCGTCATCGTAGCAGTTGAGCGAAGGACTTAAAATCTGCCAGGAAACGGGCGTCTGAGACACAGAGTCGCCTTCACAGTTGGCATGTTTTCAGGATGATAAAAGCTTTCACACCAAGTGGTTTGGTTTTTTTTTTTTTTTTAGATAGCAGGGTGGGAAAAAATAGCTTCCAAGCTGTAAGGAGTAGTTGTGCTGGAGGGGAGGGCGGGGCCCGACCCGGCAGCTCTAGACTTAGCAAGAGGTGAGTAAGCACCAAATGCACTGCAAACTCAGGACTGGAAAAATCTGGGGCTAGTTGTCACAGCTGTTTTCTTTCTTGGTGGTGATTTTGCCCTTGAAGGCTGTTCACAGAACCATGTCTGAAAGCAGAAGCTTGGGTATCCTGTCCATCTGGTGATACCAGCGGATATTTTCTGCTACACACAAAGCACCCAACGCAGTGGGTGGAAGGGGATTCTCCTTTACCAGCAGCTCATGGGTAGTGTCTTTGGTTGGCAGGTTGCAAAGGGATATTTTTTTTATAGCAGCTCTTGCAACTCCCATGTTTCTCCCTGGTACTGGTGATGGCCCGTTGTGCTGTTTCTGCTGGAGCAGGGGTTGCATCAGTCCAGCAGCATGTCTCAGAAACACATGGTGCGTCACATGGACCTAGCTCTGACCCTTCGTCTAACCCAAGGAAGTCCCTAGTGTGAGTACATAGACTCCCTCCTCCTTCCTTCCACTTTCTGGCTTGTCTGCCCTGGAAAGTTTTCCTTACAGATCTTGTGTGAGCCCCCCCATCCCTGCGCATATGGAAAATAATACTTACGCTGGGTAGAGAGTACTTTTGCTTACGCTTTGGTTGAAGCTGTGAGCTGTGTTGGCCTCATAGCTTTTTTTTTTTTTCCTAGAGCTAAGTATGTGTGATGGCTTTTGCCAGCATAACCCCTGCCAGCTCTGGCACTGAGGTACATGCCTGTGTGGCACATGCCTACCAGCACGGTGGAGCTGGCTGCCTCTGGGGCTGCTGAGGAAAGCTTGTGGCAGCTGGGGGCAGGCAGTGAGCCCAGCAGAGCTCCCAGGTTCACAGGAGTTTTGCACCCAGGGAGTTTTGCTCCCAGGTTTTGCACCAGGCTGGGTGCCAAACTGGCAGCCACTTGCTGTGCCAGCATGTTGTCCTGTGGTCTGTGGCTGGGAACCCATCCAGCCCCCCAGGTGGACTCAGACCTTCCTGATAAATCCAGTCTATAATGGACTGCAGAAAACAGTAAATTCACCCTGCTTTAGTTGAACTGGCTTTGTCAGTAAATGCTCTGGGATAGAGCATTGGGCTGGTGTAGAGAAATCAGGGGCAGTATCATTGTTGCAGGGTGTGGGTACAGCATTTGGTAGGTACTGATAGTACCTTTTCTTGGATGACTGGAGGGTTGCCATTGGTGCCGCCTCCTTCATACCAACACCAGTTTGTGGGAGAGAGGAATGGGAGCATGACAGATTAATTTGCTTTCTCCTGAGTCTTGCTGAGCCAGTGAAGAGATCCCAGAACTCTGGCAGGAGGACTCTGGCTGTGTGAATAGTCTGCGCTTAGATCAGTAAAACTGACCATCACCCTGCCTTTCATCTGTGTAGTGTAATCACCTGTCATGGGAGTGAAGCCCTCTCTTGGTGTGGCTGAAGAGAGACAGCTGGATGTCTATCAGATACGCTGTTTTCCAGCTATGCAGAGCTATCTTCATCCCATGGGTTCCTGAGCTTGATCCCAAGTTCTGGCAGGTGTCATGGCTGTACCAGATGCAGTAACGACCTCCAGTGTGCAGTGAGACCTTGGTCTGCACCACGGGAGGCACCTGCTAGCTGAGCCATCCATGATCCCGGCCATCCTTACTTCATGTGATCTCTAAGAGGCTCTTGGACAGCTTATGCCAACTGCTGGCTGGGAGCAGTGGGGCTGAGTGGCTGCCATGGGTTCCTTGAGTTGAGTTTCTGCTCTCCACCAGCTGGCAGCTGTACTTTGGTCTATGCCCTGGTCTGGTGCAACTCCAGCCCTCAGCTACGCTTTTCACTCAGTATTTGGTGTGTCAGTGGCAGCTGGTGAGGAGCAGTTGGAATGTTGGGAGCATTGGGTCTCTGCTACAGGATGGTTGCACGCCTCTGCTCCCTAGCTAGGGCATGCTGAGGCTGGCTCCCTTCCTGTGTATGTCTTTACCACAGCTGCTGATCAATGTGTCCCCAGGAGGATGTCAAGCGTTGAACCTCTGCAGAGTCATTTAGGGGTGAGTCTGTAGGTTTGCTGTCTGGGAATGAGAAGGTGTCTCCCAGCTCACAAAAAAATACTTGGAACGCCTCATTCTCCCTAACCTCACATCACGAGTATGGGCTGTGAGCAGGGGCAGCTGCTCCACGAGCTGTCACACCCCACCCCACCCCACCAGACCATCTGTCTGGGACTTGTCAGACCGTGACTCAGCCAGGCTGTGGCTGTTCCTGCTGCAGCCAGGGTCCTGGTTGCCTCCCTGTGACCTGGAGCGCCCATCCAGCTCCACTGTGTACAGGTCAGCTTCCCTGGGGAGCATGGTGACTTGTGGAAACAAGAGATCCCGGGACATGAGGAAGACAGATTTTTTTTTTTTTTTTTTCCTTTGAATGGCAAGTAGCACTGAACTTCCTTTCCTCCATCCCTGCCCCTGCGTGCTCTGCATGGAGCAGCTTGCCAGGGAGGTGGCTGTGGTTGCTCTGGGTGGGGACCCATCCAGGCAAGAGGCTCCCTCCAGCCATGAAAATGGTCCTCGACAGTCCCACTGCAGGGAGGAACCCCTCCCAGTGCTCAGGGAACTCCAAAGAGTTCAAGCTGACTCCTGCTCCTTCCAGCCCAGAAAGGATGGGGCAGAACTGAATGTCGCTGGCAGAGCTGAGACCTGGTGCTTGTGAACTTCTGCCCTGCCTCCCTCTTGCAAGCTCCAGCAAGCGCACCTAGCCCTTTCCTAGTGTAGGGTTCTTTCTTCCCCTAGATGCCCTCTTTACCCAGCTGACCCTTGCATTTCCCACACTTAATGAAGCCACTTGCACACTCCCTCCTGTTTCTTTTGCCTTTTATCTACAGCACAGGTACATCTGAAACCAGCCAAGAAGGGTTCCTGCAGATGTAGCAGGAACAGCTGCAGGGAAGAACCCGAGTAAACCCAACTGCATGTCAATTTGAGCCACTTAATGGTTTTGGAAGCAGATGAGATTGGCACCAGCAAATCCTCCTTTCATCTACATGTTGCACAAAAGAGGAGCAAGGTGAATCATCCAGTCAAGCCTTTGCAGCTGAGCAGAGTCATGTGCCCCTGCCCTGAAGCATGGATTTCACCATAGCCTTTTTTTGTGGCAGCCTTTGTTGTTTTCACTACCCTTGGTGGCTGTCCTGCCAGGACAAGGTATCATCATCTTGCTGTGTCCTGGCCTCTTCCAGAGCACTCAGGGAGGTGCACAACGGGTCAGACCCTCAGGGGCTCCACCAGTGCCCTCCCTTGAGAGATACAGTCCTGCTCCTGCTCTTTACTTCCTGACCTTTCACCAGTTACTAATCCCAGGAGGTCTCTACCTCTTATCCCATGGCATCTCAGTTTCTTTAAGAGCTTTTGGGCATTCTTCAAGCACTTAAGCACATGCCATTTGGAAATCTACCAGTAAAGCCCAGGTTAATTTGATCACCCTTATCTCCATACTTACTGTTTCCTTGCAAAGGAAAATCATGCCCTGCAATGCTAATTATCTGGGTGTCTGCTGATTCTGCTTTGAACCGTGGATTGCTTCAGTGTGAGGTGTTAAACCTGGCTTTGTGTTTTCATTTTGATGAGCAATTCAGTCCTGCTCAGCCATTTTCTCTGTGAAAGGTGGTGTTTTCCCCTGGGAGCTGTGGAGCTGCGATCCAGTGTGGAAGCAGAACTGAGTTGGGGTGGCACCTGGGGACCCGGCCTGGCACACCAGCAGCTTGCCCATAAGGCAGCGGCAGATGCCTGATATGCAAATCCCAACTCCTCTGGTTTCTTGAAGCTGCTGGGATGTCTCCCCTGCCACACAAGCAGTGGTGAAGGGAGGTCATGTGAACAGTGCTGGGCAAAACACCAGTTCTTCCATGTATCAGTTGTCAGGGCTGGGCTTCTCACTCAGAGTGTGTGAAAAGGCACTGCATCCATCCACAAAAAAAAAAAGAAAAAAAAACATGCTGAAATAGCTTACACTTCCTAAGCACAAATTTATGTAACAAAGTCAGACTTGTGGTAAAAAAACCTAAATATTTGAGGGTGATAAGATACATGGATGGGAGAAAAATGCATTATGTGCTACAGGAAGTGTTTGCAAAACCATGCAAAAATAAATGGTTACCTTCCGTTCCCTGAGGTCAGTCCCTTCCTGGTGCCTGAGCAGCCGGAGTTGCAGCATGCGGCTCTGTGGTTTCTCTCCGCCCAGTCCAGACGCCTCACTGGGTGCAGGAGCTCCAGAAAACCTAAACTGGGACAAGCATCAACAGTGATGTTGCTGATGGGGCTCTATCAGCTGAACAGGGGGGCAAGAATTTTTGTGGTGGCTTTTTTCCTTAAACAAGTCAATTGTTTCCTTATGAAGAAACTGTTAAATAGCTCAAACAAAACACAGAGCCTTGCCAGGAACATCATTAAGATTTAGACCTTTGCATCCGAATGCTCTGGGGTTTTCCAGACCACTTGGTTTCAGGTAGGACACATGAAAATACAATCTAAGGGTTTCTCTCTGCTTTAACAATTGGTGTTTCGTGCCAGACAGGGTCTGTTGGTGACCCTGTTTGAACTTGCTGTAATTTGTACATGAACTGCTGCCATTACCATACAGGTCCTCCTGTATCTGCTTGGTATGGCTCATCATCCCTGCCCATGTGGGGAGCTGTGTTGTCCTAGTGGTACCAAAGGGGTTGCTGCACTGCCCCAGGGCAATGAGGGTGGGTGGCTGCAGCAGTGGGATCCAGACCTCATGCTCGGTGTTGTTAAACAGAGGATTTCTGTGGTTTAATCTAGAGCAGGTTCTCTTTGCAACTGAGATGTGGCCCGGGAGACAGGGAGCAAGATGTCTGTGTGGGTTGTGGGAACCACAGCTGCATGGTGGGGTCCCAGATAACATTAAAGCTGCCATAGTGGGTTTGATGCCCAGTATGGCAAGCCAGTAGGTCCTCTCAACCAGCGCATGGGATGCAGTTTGCTGTGGAGGATGTTGACAGCACAAAGTGTGGCATGCAACACTTCGTTCGCTTGATGCTCCTGGGATAGTCGCCTTGGTTTCAGTGGCACAAGTAGGAGAGGAAGCCAAGACAAAGGACTATCCCAAACAGGAAGCTGCTGGGAAGGGAACAAATGTCAGAGGCCGGGTATGTGAAGGCAGATGATGCCAGGATATCCTCCCAGGGGAAGGCAGTGGAAGCAGAGGGAACTGCCTCAGCACATGCACCCCTTTATCCCATGCTCAGCCAGCCCAGGATGGACAGACAGCAGAAGGGGCCATGAGGACAGACTGTTCTCGCAGATGAAAACTTAGTCTGTATTTAAATGTATGGTTTATCTGGCTCCACCAGGCAGTGTTTGAGGTACTGCAGGATAGGGACCAATATGTGTGAGGGGGGAGGCGAGGAGAGCTGCTTTCTTGGGGGATGCTGCTGCTCCCAGCCCTCTGCACTCCGCAGGCTCTGCTGGCTCCGTAGAGAGGAGGGGGCTGCTCAGACCCCCGCACCGGGATGGGGTCATGGGGGGTATCAATGCCTCCCACAGCTTGTGAAGGCTAAAGCCTCGCCACTGTTTGATGGGTTTATGAGTGCATCAGCGGCATCATGGCCTGGACGTGGATGGCAGCTTCTCACTGGAAGCAGTGTTGGTGTGCCAGGCCAAGGGGACATGACTATGCTTACAGCTATTTTGGATACGTTTAATCTGAGTGCGTTTACAGCCATCCTGGATATGTTTAATCACTGCTCATTAATGTGAAGGTTTATCTAAACACCTTCCACTTCACTCAGTAAAAGGACCACTGCCTGTCTCATGAACCCATTTGCTGCTGGTTTGGGAGCCAGGAGTTTTTACTATGGGAAGAATACTTAACTCTTACAAAAGCTGTTGATCTTCCTCCACCTGCCTTTTGGCCCTCTCTGTAAAGGTAGAGCTCATGCTGCTTTAGGGGTCCCCTGCCCACAATGCCTAATGGTGGTGGTGGGCTCTAAGAGAACACTCAGGATGCTCCGCATTGCTTAGTGTGCAATACAGGCTGTTTCAGCCAAGCGGAGGATGCTGCAGGGGTGAGCCCTGGATGCTGATGGTAACCAGTCAAATAGAAATAGCAAACCAGTTCAAGCAATGCTTTTTCACACATTTTTCCAACCTCCCACAGTCAGTGTCTTGGGATTTTTGAGCCAGAGATATTGTTCTTGTACCTAATAACCTTTGCTGGATCATGCTTCCAATTTTTCCTCCTCCTAATTCCCAACAATAACTTTGCTTTTTTAATTTTTTTGACTACTTCTTGGCACAGCCCCACAAAAGGTCAGCTTCATCTGTCACAGTACCAAGGCTTTGCAGCTGAATGGTAATGGCCACTGATTCTCCCAGAGCATCGCTCTGCGATTGCCTACACTGCATTTCATTGGCCTCTTTTTTTTGGGCCCCCTCACTCAACCTTGGAAAATCTTTCTGCAGTTCTTTGTATTCAGCCTTGTCTTTGCTTCCTTGATTTGAGTGTCAGCAACAAACTGTGCCACCTTGCTGCACTGTCTTCCAGATCGTGTATGACTGTGTTGAAGAATGCAGTTGCCATCACAGATCCCTATGGGGGTCCCCGATGAAAACTGCCTGTTGCTCATACCCCCCACTCCCTATCTTTGCAGCCAGCGATTTACACCAGGGAAGACCCTTATCCTGTTGCACCTTGGTAACCTTACAGCTGCTGGTGGGTAACCCTTTTGAATGCCTGTAGACGTCCAAGCAGCCGCCATCAGTTGATCTCCTTCCCCCAAGTGTACAGACTTCCAGTAGCTGTGTCCCCTGGCTTCCCATGGGCCATCTTATTCCATGCATCTGCTGTTTCTGCTCTTTAGGGTGGTTTGTGCAGATCTGCTTGGTGCACGCATTGGGCTTGGACCAGGACTTCCCTAGATCCTCATGATTTAAATACTGGCCTTGCGTTGGTCACTGAGCTGGCTGGATCACAACCTGCTTCACAGTGGGACACTGTTGATACTGCCTCCAAAGGAGTCCTGCACTTTGGCTTCTGGTCCTGCCTGCCCACAGTGACCCATGGGGACACTTTACCATGGGTGGCACCATGCAGCCCCATGCCTGCAGCCACTCAGCCTGGGGGTGTGGGCTCGGGCAGAGGACTTGGGGGAACTGGAGCCAGCCTTTCCTTCACCCTGGCCCCAGGAGAGGTCCCTGACAGTGGGGAAGGAGACGGAACGTTGCTGCTGGTGTGAAGTTGCATTGGCCTAACATCACCTTTCCTCCAACCCCCAAGGATGGAGATGCCCATCTTTGGGACTTGACCCCAACCCAGTGTGAGAACCTCTCAGTCTTAGGGCTGTCCTGCTGCCAGCTCTCCCCTTGGATGACAGCAGGCAGGACACTCTGCTTGGACCGGCAGCCAGCACCTGATTTGAGTGCTTGTGGGCATGTGCCGGTCCAGCATCACCATCCTGCCTGCAGACGCAGCACAGGTACACATTGTGTAAGCACAGGTACACATCTTGGTATTGTTCAAGGGTCTGCACAAGCAGGTTACAGCAAGTGGAGCTGCCAAACTGTGTTGAATCATGTGCTGGCCTCAGAAATTCATGTTACGGACCATCTACAAAGCAGCTGTATCATGTACTGGCATCTGCACATGAGTAAATTCTATCACGTATAAACAAGGTGGTAGGAATACAGGCATACATGTGTTACAAAGTAGGAGCTGGATCTTGGCAACCAATGCCAAATATACAACAAATGATTTGATAACTCAATAGCATGGAAACATCAGCAAGTGAGCTTGGGCAGTGGGGAGAGCGTGCTGAATAATTGAGGCAGTGATGATTTTTATGAGAGTTAAATTACGTGCTCTGTAGCAATCTCTGCTCATAAATACATGGCTAATGCTTGTGAGCTCATCTGGCATGGGGCGAGGGTCAGCACCACAGTGGGGAAGGGTCTGGGAGTGTGGCAGGGGAAGGGTCTGGGAGTGTGGCAGACTCCACATGGGCGGATGGACAGGCAAATAGGTGGGAACTTTGTCTGCAGGGTGCCTGGTGTCCCGAGCATGAGGGGTGGGATGTGGTGGGGGTGCAGGGAGCTGGATGACCTGCCCGGGGCACTCTGGTGGGGAGCTGCAGACTACAGTGTTTCCCCAAACCCTGTCTCCTTACTAAGAAGGATTGCTATTGGCAAGCAGCTAAATCTTGGAGGAGGCATCTGTGCTTCCCAAGTGTCCTCCAGCAGGCAGCCACTGCCCTGGTGAGGATGTTGTTGTCCTTCCATAGGACAGCCAACTTGCCACCCTCTGCAAGGTCTCAGGTTAAACATTCCCCCTCTTTGCAGCATCACTTTAGAAGCAGGTTCCGCAGGCTTGGCTGCTGCTCCACCAAAGATCATATGGCAACAGCAGGGGGAAACTACCAAGCTTGGATCTGCTGCTAGGGCTTTTCAGGGATGCAGTTCCTGTTGGGTTGGTGCCATGGGATGGAGGAGGTGAGGGGTCTGGCAGTGCATCCACCATGTCGCTCAGGTGAGAGCAAGGACTCTAAAGGCATATCTAGATGAGCTCACATGCTGGGTGCAAGATGTGGGTCCAGTGAGGTGGGTGTGGGATGAAAACTGCATTGCAAGAGCTATGCGCCAGGACATCAAGACCAGCATGCAGGGCTGCATTCAACACCTGCCCGGAAAGCCATTGGGATGCTAAAACACGGGTCCTTCACCTTGGACTCCGCTCTCTAAGTCAGAGCTTGTGGACAAGTTTCCTGCAGAAGATGCATGATGTAGAGGGCACGTGCAGACAGAGCCATTAAAAAGCAGCAGAAGGTTTCAGCTGGTGGTCAGACATTGCAGTGAGGCAAGATTTAAAGACAAAATTCCCTGAATTCACAGGCAACACTTCTGGGAAGAGTTGGTCATTTGTGAAATCTATGGCTCTGGCAAGCCCACTATCGGCTCAGCTCTTGAAACCCCATGTTCTGCAAGGACCTCCAATGCTGCACAAGCCTCAAGGGGTGACACTGGCCAGCAAATTAGCCATAGCTGGGGAATGCTGAGGGAGCATCAGCCCAATGTGGAAGCTTTGTGCCGGGCCTGGCCTTACTCCTACTGCTGCTAATTGAGCCTCGAGACATGTCCTGGGGTGGGGGATCCCCAAGGAA